TTTTTTATATGAAATAAAAAGACCCCTCACCATACTTAGCTGTGGACATACATACCATCGTGATTGTATTGAAAGGTCTATAAAAATAAGTCCATCATGTCCAAGACCTGATTGTAAAAAGGAGGTGAAATTAGCAGTTCTCAAGTCACCCGGAAATCTGTATGATAATGATTTAATGGATATATCTCCATCACTATTTAATGACTCACCATTACTCCGAAATGACTCTCAGAAAAAGCATTCTAATGATCCTTTATTTCCGAAAGTGTCACCTAATAAAAAAGCTAGGAAACTGGATAAAAGAAATGACTTCCCAAAATTGAAAAAATTGATTAAGGAATTGTCCTCTGAAACGTCTCAAGATCCAGAAATTATAGAAGTAGGAACTAGTGATTTCTCTGATCTATACAATGTAATCGTTAAGATGGAAGGTCAGGTAGAAATTACGAATCGAACTGTTATCAAATCATACTATAATTTCAGAAAAGCACTTGATGATCGATTTGAACAATACATGAAAAATAATCCCAAGCGAACAGCCCAGGCATTAGTCAATAAAGAAGTTCAAAAATAACTCCCTGACTCTGTTAGCAATGATTTACTTCGGAAGAAAAAAGAATGGGCTCTAAAGATTTATGGTCTCTTTAGCGAAATAGGCGAGCATAAGATTCAAAGGATAAAATCTTTTATGGTAGCATCTATATCAAAATTAAATCTGGACGATATCGACCATATATTGGTCAAGTTTGCGAAATAGTATTTACTGCGCCACTCACGTGATGTTGTGAAATCGGTTCACATTCTCTGAAATAAATTTTAATTATATACAAAGCCCCTTCGGCTAAATTTATATATATTAATAAAGTTCGCCCATATCAGGTTTAGTGTTTTTTTTTAACATGAATGATAGTATACCTGAACAATAAATATGATTCTATACAATGCCATGTATAATTCCAAGGCTGATCATCTCGTAATTTATGGAAATTTGCTAGTATCTGAAATTGTCTTAGAATTGTCGTGGAACTGACAAGAGTACAATTTTTTATAATAATGAAAATAATTTAGCCATTACATTATCTATCAGATCTAATTAACTGAATTATGACCGGGTAATCCCCTATTAATCATGAGAGATCCACACAGCCTGTATTGATTCATCTTATACTCCGAATTTTCCAGGCTGCAATTATCCCAATTTAGTCATTATATTATCTCAGAACTAATTTAACCGAATTATGCCATTGGAAAATCCCTTACATTTATATGAATATGCATATAGATGTAGACCTTATATAAATCCTTGATACGCTTGTAATCGAATAAAAAAATGAATCTGATATTTTATTATAATATACTTGTACAAACTACTACAACACTAAATATTTACTAAAAACGCTATATATCACTAAAATTGCTATAAGTCTTATTT